CCAGCACGTTGTTTGTTTTAAGAACACTTTCACTGCAAATCTGACAAAATGCAAAGAAGATTCCAATGTGAAATTTCTAAAGACAGCTACAGCACTGGACCCAAGATATTAGAATCTGAAGTGCCTTCCAAAATCTGAGAGGGATGAGGTGTGGAGCATGCTTTGAGAAGTCTTAAAAGAGCAACACTCTGATGTGGAAACTACAGAACTCACACCACCAAAAAAGAAAATCAGCCTTCTGCTGATGGCATCTGACTCAGATGATGAAAATGAATATGCATCCGTCCACACTGCTTTGGATCGTTATTGAGCAGAACCCATCATCGGCATGGACACATGTCCTCTGGAACAGTGGTTGAAGCATCAAGGGACATATGAATCTTTACTGCATCTGGCGTGTAGATATCTTGTGCCATGCAAACACCTGTTCTCAGGTGACACTGTAAACATGAAGCAGGCAGCATTATCTTCTGCAAATGTAAACAAACTTGTTTGTCTGAGCGATTGGCTGAACAAGAAGTAGGACTGAGCGGACTGGTAGGCTCTAAAGTTTTACATTGTTTTATTTTTGAATGCAGGGGTTTTTTGTACATATTCTACATTTGCAAGTTGCACTTTCATGATAAAGAGATTGCATTACAGTACTTGTGTTAGGTGAACTGAAAAATACTATTTGCTTTTTACAGTACAAATATTTGTAATTAAAAATAAATATAAAGTGAGCACTGTACACTTTGTATTCTGTGTTGTAACTGAAATCAACATATTTGAAAATGTAGAAAACATCCACAAATATTTAAATAAATGATATTCTATTATTGTTTAAGAGCACGACTAATCGCTTGATTATTATTTTTAACTGCGTAATTAATTGTGATAAATTTTTTTAATCACTTGACAGTCCTAGTATAAATAAAAAGGTAACATTTCTCAAACACCTGCCAGGAATGATCTAGTTATTACATAGTCCTACCTTGAGTGCAGGGGACTGGATTAGATGACCTCTCGAGGTACCTTCCAGTCCTACACTTTTATGATTTCTCCTGGCTTTTATTTTGTTTTTACACTCTATACACTTGCTTAAGTCTCCATATATCTTAACTGATTTTGTGCAAATATTCAGTTCTTTTTTAATTAATATAATACATACCATATATCTAAGTTTACAAATAATCTCTCTGAAACAAAATCCCACATTACCTGGGTAATGTTATTGTTAATCAATCATTTTCATACAATAGTGGGAAACACTGAATCAGGTCTTCCTCTGCTCCTGAGATTTAACCTATTCTTGTCATTTTTAAATATAAATTAAAACTGATTTTTAGAACAGATTTGTTTTGTTTCTAGGATGTCATTCTCTAGGTTACTAATCTTTTTTATGCTGTAAAAGAAGTATTCAAAGAGCAGCAATTATTATGTGCTTTAGGTACACAAGCTATAAAATGGGGGGGAAATATACAAATAGAATTGTCCTTTAAAAGGACACAGTCAAAGCTAAAAGTTAGCAAGAAGCCAGATTGTGGGGACTGTCATTAAGAGACAGAACTTTTCACTTCTAGGTTCCTGGCACTTGCAGCATACATCACCAAGGTAAAAAGTTGATTTCCCTAAGTCTGACATTTATAGCTGCATTTTTTGACTCACATGATCTCAAACACTGTCAATCTGCCAGCTATATCATTCCTAAATTACAACTATGATTCCCAGTTCTGTGCACTACTGAGTCCTATGATCCATGCTCTTTCAATTCCTAAAAGTTCTGTCACTTGACCAAAACGTTCTCATCTTCCCAAGGTATTTATTTATTTATAAATTTCAGAAATGTATCCATCAAACAGTGTCTGGGCTCATTTCAAGAATTTTAAAACTAAACACACACTATTCAGTACAATGTTAGCATTAGAACATCTGTTCAAGTGGGGCCTAATCCAAAGTCCATTGAACGGAAACATTCCCATCAATTTAATTAGGTTTTGAATGATCAAGCCCTTGAAACTTGTGGCACAGTATAATGCCAGTTGTGTCTGTTGCAAATTCAAACCAATAATTTTGCTGATAGAATCAAAATATAGCACTGAAAGATCGTGTGGCACAATCACACTGGAGCCAGAATTCAGGAACTAAAATCATTATGGAATGGAATGCTGGAAAAGCACGCTGGATACTGGTACTCAAGCTCTAACTCTGCTTCCAAAATCCTTATATTCCAGGAACTACCACAAGTATGTTTTTTTTTTTTTAATAGGGTAAGGTTTGCCAAGGCAAGGTGTTCCAAAAAATACATGCATGTGCTAGGCCTTCTTAAAGCTCATAATATGTAACTACAGAAAAACAAATATTCAGAGATTAGTTGCATTTAAATCTGAAGAGTGAGGGTTACTACCAAAGATTATGCACTGGAATAAAATAGCCAGAAAGATGCTAGGAATATAGTTGGTGTTCCATCAAGTCAAAGGCCTATCCTTGATCTCAGAAAAGTCAATGAGACATTTGCAATAAACTTCCATGGGTGCAGGCTCAAAAGGTGTAAGTGTAATGATCTTTGCTGGCTGAATAATTTATCTGCAAAATTAGTAGACTGCCTTCAACAGAATGGGTTGAATTATTCATTGGGAATAAATTATCTGAGAAATTTAGGACTTCTTTCTGTTTGCAAATTGTTCATGAACCAATTCTGATTCTCTGAACGCATTCGTTATTCAAAGTACTCAGTGAATAGATTATGCAAACAAATTTCAGCCTATGGGTTGTCTGTGAAACAGTCACTTCAACTATTTGCTATTCGTGGTATGTGGCTGATGCATAAGGCACATGGTATTTTCGCTACTCTCTGACTGGATGACAAACTTTTTAAACACGATAATAACAAACGACAAACTGCAAATGATGGATAAGGACTGATGAATAATGAACTTCCACCATATTTTTTCAGACAAATGATCAGTTGTGCTAAAATCTATGAAACTCACAGGGATCATAAACATTGTAACAAATCAATCAGCGCTCATTTGAATACACACAAACAAATAATATGCTTCAATGAATAGCAGTGAAGTAAATGTAGTATAGTATGTTTATTAGCAAAAATAATCACAAATCTCTTTTTATTATTCAGTCACCTTTAATCTGCATGCTTTCCTAACTTTCTTCTGCCTAAACTGGAAACATTGTTGAAAATACCCGACTGCTAGCTTAAGCCTCAGTTCCGCAAACATTTAAGAACATGAGTAACTTGATGCAGTGGGGCTAATCATGTGCATAAAGTTACTCATTTGTGTAAGGGTTTGCAGAGCAGGGGCTTAAAATTGTCCTTCTGATTTCACATCCAATTATTCTTCAGCCAAAAATTAGACCTATTCTTCAGAAGGGCAAGTCCAATGGCCTTATTTTATATTACATTATATATCTAAGGTCTGTCCCAAGAAAAATAAATACTAATCTAGTTATGCTGCTATACTGTATGAAGAGCAGTCTATAAATTCAGGCTAGCTAACTTTTATCACCTAAGACCTTCCTTTGTGAATGATTTTTTTCAGTTTAAAGAATACCCTTTGTGACATTTTGCTGGTTGTCCATTGATAATCTCCAAAGAAAGAGCAAACAGAAACTGCAGAAGGAATAGCCCAGTAAATAACAGAAATGCCTTTCATTTTTGAACCTGAAAATATTTGCTATGAACACATATTTGATAAAGTACAAATGGAAAAATAACTTTGGTTTGTCAGTTTTTCCTGCTTCCCAGATGCATGGGAGCAAATCACAAAATGAAGCTGTGTATGAAATTATTCTAAATTTAAAATTAGGGGGAAATTATTATGTCAATGACCTGTAACATGAATTTAAGCATAATGAAGGCCTAAAAGTGACTAATGATTTGGGGTGCAAAAACATAAAAGTGTCTGATTTTCAGCCAGTGCTGACTACCTGCCCACTGAAAACCTGGTCTCTTTCAGGCAATTAAATTGGGCAAGAAAAAAAAGCATCCAATTTTACAAGTCATTTGTGAAAATTTACGGCCCAAAGTATAAGTTTGAGTAGAAAATGGATATTTAATAAAAGTACAGAGTGTATAAGGGTCTGAAGGGTAGCTAAGCAAATAGAAGTAATTCTTTGTTAAAGGAACCATCATAAATTCTCTTTAGTCAGAAAGAGCAGGTTGATATGTATACATACATATATGTCTATGTATATATAGGTTAATAAAATAAACGGAATCTGGAATTTCTAGCATTCTGAGCTCCTAAAAAACTTTAGCTAAACACCAAATATGACAAAAATAAAGGGCACCCGTAAACTCCAATCCAAAGTAAAGAAGAAGAAACCACTTAAATTTAGTGAAAGTTGTATCACCTCAGAATATTTTCACTTGATTGGGTTTGTGGAAGAGAATGCAAAACTCTGCCTCAGTACAGGAACAACTAAAAAAAAAAAAACACCCTCAATAAAAGCTTGTCAGATTTAAACTTGGCTCTCACTGAAAACCACACAAGTTTAATCCCTTCACAACTGAGACAAATCCAGGCTGCCCATTTCCTTTCAAATCACTGAATGATTTCAGTTTACTCCAAATCTCTGAATGTGAAAAACCAGGCCAAGTGCTCTAAGTCAGCCATTCAGGAGATATGAGAAACTGACTTTACCTGATAAATGTGCCTTGGGTTTATATACCTTTCCTTCTATGTCTTTTACAGGGAGAGCTTTGTCTTGCCTTATCTCGGGATGGCTTTGTCTTCTTTCACTGTCTTATTCACTCTCCCCTAACACATGGGAATAGGCTTCAAGAAAGACAAGCAGAACCCCATCCAGCCTATAGTAGCTGCTGGGGATGTCCTGGAACACTATGTTTGAACCAGACGGTATCAGCTCCCCCCACTGTCAAAGGATCCTTTCGGGATTGTGCCTTTGCCCCTAAGGCTAATCACTTTGTTCCTCCTTTTTCCTTTTAATAGACTAATGAAGCTCAAACAAGTAGGCTTAGCCTAGTGATAGCTCACGTGTCTAAGATGCAGCTCTCTCTTGCCATTGGCCAGCAATAATTATAGGCACACTCCGGGGAGAGAGCAGACACTTGGAGCATAAATTATGCAAATGAAGGAGAGTGCAGCACGGGGCAGACCTGATGCCTTGGTTCATTCATCCCGCAAGGCATGGGGGGCTAGGGGGGGGCTCTATTGTTTTACAGGGTATATAAGGAGTCTGAGGCCAGTCGTGTGCCAAACTCACGGCTCGCACGAGCTGATCGCAGGCGAGATCACTTCAAAGACAAGAGCAGGCGCGTGTCCCCACCCCACCCCCCTTTTCTTGGGAGCCGCCAAGAGCTGAAGTTGGTCCTGACTTCGCCAACCCTTGGAAACTTTCTCCCCCGCCCCTGGATTGCATCTCTGAGCCTTTGCACGTGAGTATGTGGGCCATGCAGACAGACACGCCTCTCTCTAAATCCAGCTGTAGCATGCAACACCGAGACACCCCAGAGAGCTGCTGTGTCTAGACAGAGCCAGATTGAGCCCTTTAATTTCTCCCTCTAGTCCGCTGATTGATTCCCCCCCCCCCGCCCCCCGATACAGTTGGGTTTTTCGTTTTTAACCTTCTCCGTTTGGGGTCCATTGCTCGCCCCGATGGGGGCTGATCCCGCTTTGAACTGTCCCTCCCCCCGAGTGCCAGGCACTGACGGCGGCCCGTGTTCTCTCCCCGCAGGATGCCCTCTGCCCCGGAGACCCGCTACTCCGCCGCGGAGAACAGCGGCGACGTATCCTCCTGCCTGGACAGCAGCCTGCGAGCCCCGTCCGAGCCCTCGCCGGGGCCGGGGCCGGGGCCGAGCCCGGAGGAGGAGCCGGGGCGGCGCCGGCGGCGGCGGGGCCGCTGCCGGGCGCGGAGCGAGGCGGCCCTGCACACGCTGCGGAGGAGCCGGCGGGTGAAGGCGAACGACCGGGAGCGGAACCGCATGCACAACCTCAACGCGGCGCTGGACGAGCTGCGCGGCGTCCTGCCCACCTTCCCCGAGGACACCAAGCTGACCAAGATCGAGACGCTGCGCTTCGCCTACAACTACATCTGGGCCCTCTCCGAAACCCTGCGCCTGGCCGACCAGCGCCTCCACAAAGCCCCGCCGCCCCGGGACCGGCTGCTGCGGCCCGGCTACCTGAGCCCCGCCGGCCCGCCCAGCCCCGGCAGCGATGCGGGCTCCTGGCTCTCCACCGCCTCCCCGTCCCTGTCCGCCTGCACGTCCAACCCCAGCAGCCCGGCCACCTCCGAGGACTATGGCTACGGGCCCCCCGAGCCCCTCTTCGCCTGCCACGGCCTCCCCGGGGAGCTGCTGCGGAGCGGCCCCTGCTGCGCCCGGTATCCCCCGGCGGGCGCCGCCCTGTGACCCGGCCCCACGTGCGGGGCCTCCCTGCACCGCCCCCTGGAGTTTCACTTTCGGTTTAGCTGGGGTCGGGGCAGGCGGCGCCCCCAGGGGGGCAGGGCCGGGGGCTAGCCGCTCTGGGGGTCGTGGTGTGATGGGCGATGCAGGCAGAGAGCCAGGTCCCTCTGCAGCCAGCGGGCTATTGTCCGTGGGACGGGCAGGGCAGGGCGAGAGCTGCTCACCTCGCGGGGCTGGGCGCTGCTCTCCTTCCCAAGCCCCACCTGGCTCCAAAGGCAGCAGGAGCCAGCTCCCGTTGGGGTGGGGTTGGGGGGTGGGTTTTCTCCCCCGCCCCCGTTTGCACTTTTCTGAACTCCACAGACCCTCCTTTGTTGCTTCCCTTCCCACTGACCGGCGCCCCCCGCTTCAATATGATTTAGAAAGGAGAAGAAAAGGGACAGATTTGCTGCTGCAGACGAGGTGAAAAGTCAATTTTACAATTTGTAGAACTCTAATGAAGAAAAATGAGCATGAAAATTTGGTTTGAACGCCCTGACAATACAATGAAAAGGCTTAAGGAGCTGATCCTGCCGGGTGCACAGCACCCCCTGCCGGGCGCTCAGCGCACACAACCCCCTTTGGCTCCAATAACATCGGAGAGGGCTCAGCCTCTCCCCCAAGGCGTGCTTAGCTTAGCATCTGGCAGGATCAGCCTCTAAAGAGGCAAGACAAGGCCCTAGATTCATGCATTATGGATCTTGACCTCCAGCACTGCTGTCTCGCTTTAAGAGTAGGACTAAACACGGAGTATTCAGCAACTGGGCCTGGTATTCGTTTAATTTATTCAAGATGTTTCATTCATATGAAAATTGTATTTTTGTACATAAAGAGCTTTATTCTATTATGTCTGTGCTATGGGTTTTCACAAAGACATTTGTACCTGGTGTAAATAAAAATTTTAACGTTTATACTTAATTTCTTCAGTGCATTGATTTGATTTCAGGTCTTTTACTTCCACAAAAGAAGCTCCGGATGGGTGGGGGGTGGAAGGAAATACTTGTAAAATGCCCAAGAAATTCTCGACCACAACAGTAACACCACAACTAAATGACAGGTTTTAGAGTAGCAGCTCTGTTAGTCTGTATCCGCAAGAAGAAAAGGAGGACTTGTGGCACCTTAGAGACTAACAAATTTATTTGAGCAGAAGCTTTCGTGAGCTACAGCTCACTTCAATGGATGCATTTGATAAAGTAATACATTTGTTAGTCTGTAAGGTACCACAAGTACTCCTTTTCTTCTTACCACAACTAAATGTTCAGCTATGCTCCATCCAGCAATTGTAGATCAGAGAATTTGGATACACCTGCCTGTATCAAACACAAACATTGTCCCTGAAGGCTCATGCTAAGCCAAATTAAAATTTGATTGCATTGGTTTAGCTTCTAGTAAGCCACTACCTGCAGAGGTGCAGGCACTGGAAGGAGAATTTCCTTTGGGGTAACAAAACATCAGCTGGCAACAGAGTTTCAAAGAAAAAAGGATTAAAGGGATCAATAATATGTGACAGTTGGGCAGAAAGCAGAAAATGACAGGTGGATGCCTGAAGCAGTAGGTTTGAAGGCTCTGTTTTCAGCAGTATATCAGGAGAGCTTTAAGCTCTTAGGGGATTTGTACCTTTTTTGTCCAATGTGAATCCTCCAGGATCTGTAATATGGGAGACATATTGTTATTGCTATATATTCAATATATATGTAGTGTGTGTGTGTGTGTTTCTATTTGGCTTATTAAAGAGAACAGAATTCTTATTTGTCTTCACAAAGAAAAAGTTGCATTCTTCTCAAATCAGTCATCCTGACTCTGCAGGATGCTTTTGGGCTGACATTTTTATTTCTAAATCAGATAATTAACTTTCTTAAATCGGTTTGGTCACAAGAATCATTTATTTTTCAAATTTTTAAACTGGAGTAATTTCAGAACATCTGACATACCATTAGCCCTGTGGTGTTCACTGTGGAGGGTTACAGATCTAGAAATTTTAAAAAATCCATCCCTATATTGCACTTTTAGACCCTTCTCTAAAGATCTCAAAGTCCCTTACAAATATGAATGCATTAAACTTCACAATATCTTTGGGAAACAAGGAAGTATTATTATCCCTGTTCTATAGTAGGATAAATGAAGGCACAGAGAAATTAAGGACCAGATTTTCACAAGGGCTTCAGCACACACAGTTGAGGCCAAATTTTCAAAAGACCAGAGCACATTGAATGAAAATCTAGCCATACTATTACAATGGGAGTTTCTGGGTGCTAAGGGTTTTGGAAAGGCTGGCCATTATGCAGACACCTAAATGAGAACTTAATTCTTTTGCAAATCTGACCCCAAGTGTGGGTGCTGAGTACTAGAAAATCAGACCCTCATTGACTTATCCAAGTGGGCGTGCAGGGAGTTAGAGGAAGAGACTGGAGTGCAGTCCAGAGACATTCTTATAAAGATGCGCAAATATGGAATCCACTATCATTTGTTTTGAGTCTGCTCTCTCCACCAACTAGACCCTAGATCCGTATAAAACAGTGGTATGTACCTTATACCATGGAATTGCTCAGAATATTGGATCAAACACGATTTAGTGAATAATTCTGATTTTTTTACTAGATTATGAATTTATTTGAGCAACATCAAAATAGTTCTTACGGGGCAAGGTTCATTTTCCTTTGTTTCTGCTGCAGACAGTGTTTGAGAAGACTCTGTGTTTGAAAGCAGAACAAATGAAAGAAAGTTTGGCCCTAGGACTTGAGCATAAAGTGGATCAATTCCTATTTGGAAACCGGAAGAATACATTTATGGGCTTGAAAATTATTTCAGCTTTCCCCCCTCTATTTGCTTTAATAGCAAACATAGGGTGTGCACGGCCGGATGTTCAGCTCTCATTATGCAGAAGGGCTCTTGGAAGGGAGTCAGCTCAGCCTTTTGCTTTGGAGCTTATTCCATTTCTATAGGCAAGGGTAAATCCTCTATTTGTGACTCCAGCAAGGGGTCTCTCCAATCCTGCTGTAGGTGCACGTGTCTGGGATAGAGCACTGGCTTTTCTTTCTCTAAGCCCTCAGGAGACGCACCAGGAAACAAATTCCAAAAACACACTAGCATCCTGGTCCAAGCAGCACGCAGGGCGATTGCTTTTCAGTAGACAGCTGTATGCAGCACTGAATGAAACAGGGAGACCAAGTCGATTATTGCCATTGTATGGAAGGAAGTATTCAAATATAGCTATTCCTAACAACAGGCTTGCAGCTCTGGTTAGATGTGATGATGCTAAACCCATAGCTTAAGGAAAGCTTTACTTGCATGGGATGTCACTTTTTCTGTAGTTAAGACTAAATCAACCAAAAGGGGTTGGTGAGATTCCTCTTCTGTGCAGGATGAAAGGAGAAACAATACATTCAGCTGATTCTGCCACAGCAGATGCAGAACTACTGTGCTCTCAGCTAGAGACAGTTTGATACTGAGTGAGGTTGTTCCCCCTCCACAGTCTCTGCTTCACTGGGGCGTGGAGATAATTGGTTGTGAAAACCCACCCTTTGCTTCTCCTGTATTTGAGTCTGTATGGTGGTGGGGTGGAAAGGAGGGAAGAAGGGAGATTTCCAGACGAGGGAGGGTAACCTAAAACTCTACTTGCTGACCTGCTTCTTTTCATCATGCTTTAAATCTTCATGCTCCCCTCACCCCTTCAGTGCGGGAGAATAATAAAGATACTCCTTAGCACTTATACAAAGCTTTGCTTGAACAGATCCCAAAAGTGAGATGATCTCATTATTCCCATTTTACAGGTGGGGAAGTTGAGATGACTTGCCCAAGGACAATCACCAATGAGGAATAGAACGCTGGTCTTGTATGTGCAACCCTGTGCCTTATCTACAGCCCAGCATCCTCTCCCCACTAGGCTCTGGGGAGAAGATGGGAATTCTGTAGTTGGAATCATTTCTTTTTTGAGTGGAATTATTTTAGGTGTTTTTAGTTCATCAACAATCAGAGGCCCATTGGCTTCCAGGGGTCACATGGTGTTGGTTCTGGTACTCCAATGGGTTAAGCTTACCTTATCCATGAGAGAGTGCTCTCATAAAGTCATTTTCACTCATTGAAGTAGATTCCCCCTTGTACTAATGTCCTTTTTTGTTTGGAATGGCACCAGAATCCCTCTGTGCCTCAGTTCCCCATCTGTAAAATGGGGATAATGCCATGCCTTCACCTCAGAGGGGTGTTGAGAAGATAAATTCATCAAAGTCTGTGGAGCACTCAGATAGTATAGTGATGAGCACCATAAAAAAGCCCATGAAGAAATTAATAATTTCACCTTCAGAGCAGGGTTTGGATGGTGTGCAGTAAATAAGGCCTGGGGCCACGTATTGAACAACAAGGATAAACAAAATATTAAATAGCTGCTCATTAAATGAGCATCACCCTTCATGTGCACTGAACAGGGCAAGGATCCTGTGGAAAAAATCTTATCTGATCAAATAATTAAAGACTCTATCATAATCCAAAAACAAGGGGGCCAAATTAAAGTAACACTGGCAACCTTAATTCTGGCATTTCCTAACTTCTGAGTGCTTGATTTTGCAACTTAATCTTCTTTTAAAGTAGGTTTTGTGTGTGTAAGTGTGTATGTATATATATATACACACACACATACATAAATGCAAGTGTGTGTATTCATGTACATACACAAATAATGTATCTTTTTGTAAGTCCCAATAGCAGCATTATGCTTATATAAAAGTATATGCATGCTGTATACGCAAGTCCCTTAATAATGTCTTGCTAAATAAGAAGGTTGTGCAAATTTTAATTCTGGAGGCAGTAACAGGTTTTGGTCTGTGAAGCAGCGCAGATTTTTTTTGCACCTGCCCTTAAAAGCTAGGAGGTTTTGTATGGAGTAGCCTCCAGGGGCTGAAATTTAGTACAACTCATGGAGATGGAAGGTCATCTAAAGTCACTGGGTCCCAAGACACAGGACTTCAATCTCAAAGGAAAAAAAGATGAAACTTCAAAACACCTCTATTCTTTGTATTTTCTTAACTGCGAGCAGACATCTAGGGACATAATGCAATATATAAAGGGCATATAGCCACCAGAGTTCAGTCTGTGATGTTAATATTCCTAATAGGTAATGGAACCTGCATACTGCATGAGGATTCAATTAGGTTTATACATTAACATGAATCAGAGAATAGTTCTTTCTAGAGTTTTAATATAGGTTTGGACATAACTGAAGAAATCTATAGATCTATCAAATGAAATGCCTATATTCAGAAACTGGCTTTAACAAGTTGCCTTTACAATAGCAGTCTTTGCATTGATTTTATGAAGTTAACAGTTTGGGGAAATTGATAAAAAATTGGATTACAGCATCCCAAATTACAGCAGGTAATTGGTGATCAGAAAATTGTAAATAAAATAAAAACCTTCTCACACACCTAGAAAGGGAGAGAAAATGTTTCATATTAATATTTAATAGTGGAGCTGATAAAATATTATGTAAAAGTAATTTGTGAATGTTTTCATCAATAAGGGACTGATCTAGCTCTGGGTGAAGTCCATTGAAAGACCCCCATTGACTTCAGTTGGAGTTAGGTATGGCCCGAAGATCACTGAGTGTGGTTGGATTTTCATCACCTTACCATATTATTTGCTTTTCACATGTGTCCAGACAATTCCTGGTTAACCACTTTGCTCATTGGAACAAAGGTAGTTTAAGCTTTAGGGCTCAGTGCCCTGAGTTGCTGTGTCTCCTCAACTCTCATTTTAGTCAACAGCACTTACAAGAGGAAGAGAGGAAGGATGGTCCACTGGCTGGGGCCCTAAATTGAGGTTTGGAGACCTGGGTTCAATTCCCTCCTCCAGCACAGACTTCCGGTGAGACTTTGAGCAAGTCACTTAGCTTCTCTGTGCCTCAGGGCCCTAGCTGTAAAATGCGG